CCATGGAAAGAAACCCAAGGATAACAGGTTGCACAGGGCAAATCTGCTGCAGAAGAACTCTGTCAAGTGTCGGAGAGCAAGGACTTTGAGAACTAAGGTGTACCTGATTCAGGACACGGTGTCTTGGATCACTGTCTAAGGGAGACTAGGGAGGAACCACGCACTGGACTCATGGTGCTGCCAAAGAACACGGAGCCACCACGGGCTCTCAGAAGAACAGACCAATCTTGTTTGGAAGAAGGATACCTAGAATCCTTGGAAGTGAGGATGACGACACTTTGCCTCATGTCCTTTTGACATGTTATCAGGAGAGGCTGTCCCTGGAGAAAGACATCATGCTTGGGAAAGTGGGAAGGCAGACACCAGGGAGACGCAGGACACGATGGCGGGATCCCACGGCTGCCTCCATGGGCTTAAACACGAGAATCACGCGGCTGGCACAGGCTGTCCAGAGGAGTGCGCCGAGTTGGAAATCACTTGGCCGCACCTAACAATAACAAGAACAGGAAGGATTTTCAAATCGCTCCTGAGAGTCCTCAGGGACTTCTTGTGGAGCAAAGACAAACCTAAATGGGTGGGGTTCAAGCTGCTCTCTCCCCAGTGTGACTGAGTGGCTTCCTTATCTCTATTTTTATGCCTTGGACCTATTGTGGCTTGATGAGTGCTCCCCAAATTCATGTCCACCTGAACCTCAGAATGAGAATGTATGGGGAAATATGGTTTTTACAGATAAATCAAGGTAATAATCAAGATAAGATCCTACTGGATCATGGTGAGTCCTAACTCCAACAGGACTGTCTTTATAAGAGATATACATGGCACACAGACAAAAAGGGAAGGCCATGTGAAGGTGAAGTTATGTGGCCACAAGCTAAGGGGCCAGGGGCCACCAGAAGCCAATGGGAAGATTTTCCATAGAGCCTTTGGAGGGAGCATGACCCTGTGGCCACCTTGATTTTGAATGTCTTGTCTCCAGAACAGAGAAAACATAAATTGCTATTGTTTTAAGGCATCAACTTTGAAGGTTTTTTTTTTTTATAGTAGCCTCAGGAGAGTGTGGTAGGGTGCTTGAGGAAGATGTTTGAATAATGGGTTCTGCCCTTAAAAGAAGTGAGGCCCGATCATATATATGTAAGCTTTTCCTAGCGTCTGATTCTCCCCTACTGATTTGGCCACTTGACAGTTTTGCATGTCAGTTGTCTTGCCTTCCATCCACGGCAGAAGCTACCAGAACTGGGGAGAATGAGTTCCTTTTTCCGCAAGTAAAATCTTCTTTCCAATGAAATCTGGAACACTGAAACCTTAGGAAATGGAGATCAATGAAATCTTGATCGCTGAAACCTTAGGAAATGGAGATCAATGAAATCTTGATCGCTGAAACCTTAGGAAATGGAGATCAATAAAATCTTGATCGCTGAAACCTTAGGAAATGGAGATCAATAAAATCTTGATCGCTGAAACCTTAGGAAATGGAGACCATTCACAAGTTTGCAAAGCAACACTCCAAATCGAAAGCAGATTTGGTCCTAGTATTTCCTGGAAGAAAGCAATATGCTTATTGGAGTACAAGATGTTCGTGAGATATTATTCAGTGAAGGGAACAGAGATGGAAACGATTTTCTTCTCTTTTAGCTCCCGCTCCAAGTTGAGCCAGACTCTTTATGAACTGTCTGCTTTTCATTTCGAAGGCGTAGAGAATTCAAGACTGGGTCTAGGATGTGTTCTTGTCTTGGAGCCCTTAGTCCATTTCAACTGGAAGCTCTAAAGGCAACACCACTGCTTTGTGCCTACTTGTCCCTCAGGGCTGGGTTCTGATGGGGATGCTTGACGTGGGGAGGGAGCATTTCTCCAGGGACCATATTTGACAATTCTGAACCTGGACATTAGAGTTTTTCAAAGAAGACCATGAGGCCGTAGAGGGCCCGAGCGAATTAGAGAGGCAGGGTCACCGTATTGTGAAGGAGACAGGCATGTGACAAAAGCCTTGTGTGGGTGCAAGAGAAGCTCCGGAGCAGGCAGATCCACTAAGCACTCCTTGGTGCTTGGGGCTGGGCTGGGCTGGTGCGCGCGCACGCGTGTGCGTGTGCGTGGTGTTAGCTATCAGAGGCGTCAACATTCCTCTCCACGGTCAGGATTCTTGCAGCACTCCCTCCTCAACCACGGAGATGCCAGCGTTGAGGAAGGAAATGTGACCGATTTGTCACTGGCCTTGCGACTGCCTGGCCCGAGGACACCCTCAGACAGCATGCAAGCCGGCACTCCCCAGGGGGAGCCTGAGTCCCCTCCGCTTTGTAGGCAGCTTCAGGAGATGTCTCTGAAGTCCTTCATAGAGGAGTGGCAACTATTTTCCCCAAAGACAAAGAATCCGAGGGCGATGGTGAGCACCACCCCCTGGGGGGAGTCCTTTTCCTAGTTAGAAGAACGGGCTAATGTTTAGACTAGATGGCCCCCAGCACCAACCATCCTGAAGAGAACTCGGCGGACAAGTAGGGTCAAGGCTGACCCCAAGGAGAAACAAACGAAAACAAAACTCTCCTCAAGGGCCTCGTGGACCAAGCCGAGCATCACCATCTCTGCGCTTTAAAAAGCCTCTCCGAGGCTTTGGCTGGAAGAGGGCCAAGCCTGGATGCCTTCCGGCTTCACCTGCCTCGTGTCGCTCTGGGAGGATGTTTCTGGAGCCTAGGCCTGGCCACTTATGACTCAGGAGAGGAGGACTAGACTGAAGGAGGAAGCAAAGTCCACACAGCGCAGATGAGCATGGGCCACCGTGTTCTGTGCCAACTGCCCCACGCAATTGATTGTAAAGGCATCATCAGGTCCCTCCCTGCCAGGGCTCTGTCTGATGTCTCACCTGTGCTTCTGGTCTCTATCTCCCAGTGGCTTAGACAAGACAGCGGTGGGGTGGGGGAGGCATGTCGTCGCTGCGTGCTATCTGCTGGGTCCCGACTCACAGTGACCCGATAACCCAACAATAACTCGCTGCCACGGAGTCAGTACTGCCTCAAGGCGACCCTGAGTCAGGGACTGTTCACAGGAGTAGAAAGCCCAGTCTTTCTCCCAGGGAGCTGCGGGTGGTTTCAAACTGCCGACCATCCCGATTGTAGCCCAACGCATAACCACTACACCACAGGGCTCCACAGTGACCTTAAAGGACAGAGTCGACCAGACCCACAGGGATCTTTGGGTCTCTCCTGGCAGACTCGTTATCTCTGGGGGTCCGCATGGCCAGGCCTTCCTTCAGCAGTGGACTGCTTCACCGCTGGGCCACGAGGGCCCCTGGAGCGTGGCCACACCAACCCACAGCACACCCAGAAGAAGAGAAGGCCGCTCTGCCGTGTGCACACAGTCGTCCCACAAGTCTCCTCCTCTCTTCCTTGGTCCCAGACAGAAGAAGCCTTTCTGTGCCTGTGGGAAAGTGTCCAGGGAACAGAGGCCTGGGGAAAATGCTGACTTTCAAAAGGATCTGGGGGCAGCTGGACAGCCCCCCATAAGGACCTCCGTTCTGGTTTCCTCCATTTGCTCCAAGGCCTGTGTTCAGTCACTGTTTATCCTGCTGGGGCAGCCCCCATCTCTCATGCTGCCATATTCTCCAGGACCCCCTGGGGCTAGGTCGATACCTGGCTACTGAGTCTCACCACTCTAGTGACCCGCATGTCCCCCAGATGGGACCCAAATTGGCATCCCCGGTGCAATCGCGGCCAAGGGCATCATTTCCCGGCCAGGCTAAGAAGACAGCTCGAGAAACCCTGAACCAGCGACTTAGTAACAGCCATCTGCGCGGCCAGGGACCAGGAAGTCATTCCTAACTGATTCTGATTGGTTCCTGAGTTGTTTCCTGAGTAAAGACCAGGCACTCCTCCGGTGACAGTGAGCCGGGGGGCGCTGGAGATGCCAAGGTCTTGAGGTGGACCACACAGGGGCCTTCATGGAAAAGCACACGGTGAAGTCGCTGGACTTGCAGGGAGGGAAGAAGCCAGGTGGCCACTAGCCCCTCCCTACACTCTGGGTCATGACAGATCAGCTCATCCTCCCTCCAGAGCAGTGGAGTGGTTGGGAACTGCTGTTTAATAAGTCAGGACTCACACGGTATAAGTAGGTCTGTTAGGTACAAATATTTTATGGAGGTACCTTTTCCTGAAGCTTGGAATGTCTTGATCAGGAGGCCATCACACCTCAATTTTATTATCGATGACCCAAGATTATACTGGTTTTATCAAAGCATTCATTGACTTTGCTTCATGTTGTGCAAATGCAGAGCTAGAGGCTTGGGGGGCGTGTGTGTGTGTGTGTGTGTGTGTGTGTGTGTGTGGTGGTGGGGGTCTAGGTTTAGTCATCTATCCCCTCAGCCTCTCATAGTTTCCTTTTGTCCCCCTCCCCTACGTGTCTTGAGCCGCCTGGTGTTGGGTTGCCCAATGGCCATCACCACTGTAGTGGTGAGCATGGCACAGGCATTACCCTGGGCATCCGAGAACCGCAGTTACAGCCTGTGTTGTGCCTGAGGGCCCCCCCGCACCACCCAGATGGACTGCATGTTCAAGGGCAAGCAGAGAGAAACCTGCTCAGTGAAACGGGAGGGAAACGGTCAGAGGAGGTGGTCGGCCAGCTGTGGATGGAGATGGGATAGAAGATCTTAAGTCAAGGAATGTCTTTATCTGCACGGAGGACCCTTAGCTCAGATTCAGTTCTGTGTGTGTCTGCATGCATGGGAGGGTGTACACGTGTGTGTCTGCATGCATGGGAGGGTGTACACGTGTGTGTCTGCATGCATTGGAGGGTGTACACGTGTGTGTGCGTGTTTTCACCATAGGGGGTGCTCTTGGGTAACAGCCCCTGTCTCCTGGGAGACGTCTACATGAAAAACGACTTGCAACAGCTGTTCCTCTTGCCCACAGCCCAGTGTCCTTATGACCGAATCAAAAAGAGGTAAAATAGAGATGAAGAAACATATATGGACGGGCTGCTGGAGGGGAAAGGAAGGGTGGCGAGGAGGTGATACTTACCCTACAACCACAATGATAAAATCTAGTAAATTCCACCCGTTGCGGAGGTAAGCGTTGGGATGAAAGAGAAGTCCATAGGCTATTACTTTTAAAAACGCCTCCACGGTGAAAATGATGAGAAAGAGATATTCCACTCGTTCCTAGGAGGCAGAAAGAGAAGAGAGAGAGAAGATCATTCCACTGGGGATCTGGAAAGTTCGGAGCCAGCAGATCTCACACACGGAGCATGCTGCTCTCGGCTCCTTCTATGATGGGGCCCAGGGTGGCGTGGGTGGGATCCCCAAGTCCAGGTAGCAACTTCATAACGTGTTCCACCATTATAGCCCCGTCCACTGGGCACTGGGGATTAAAGGGTCTTCCTTCGCACAGCCCCCCGCCCCCGCCAGTCTTTAAAAATCACCTGCTAAAATGGAACTATGTATTGAGACGGTAGACAAATGACACATTTCTTGAAACATCTTATTTAGCCAATCAGTTACACTGACTGGACCTTCCCAGGCGAGAAGGTCCAGGTCTGAAGGGAAATCATTGCAGCGCAGAGCGGACGGATGCCGAAAGAGGAAGGGAGACGGGAGCACTGGAAAGCCGGGCCTACGTGCCGAGGCGACCACCCTGCACGTAATAGACCCACCCTTTGGGTGTGAACATCGGAGCGCCCTGGCTCTCCAGTGTGACAGAGCTGAGCACGCAGCCACAGAGAAATCTGGCACTTTTCACAGGAGCCTGCCCCCACACACTGATCAGAAAATAG